TTTCGGTAAGAGACAAAATTCATTCTATCGAGGAAGACGATTGTTAATTGTCCTTAAGCATTGTAGAAATTGATAAATACATCTTAATAATACATTGTGAAGTCCCTCGGCTTGGATTATTGTTCAGTTCTTTTTTCAATCTTTTTTCTATTTGTATAATTTGAAAGAGTGGATGGATGTCTTCAGGAAAAAGTCTATAATCGAAAAATAACATGTTGTCTTATATAAGTCAAAAAAAGGAAAAGAAGAAACATTGAGAAATCAGATCCAGAGGTAGTTAATCTGTCAATCATTCCATATATAGACATAACTGGATCAGTCAATCTATCAATCAATCAAATCGAATTCAGGGAATCATCAAAGAGAAAATTAAAAGAAAAAAAAGAATGTCCTCTTCATCATCTGCTTTTGCACCGGACCACCACCATGTTTCTCCTTCCGAGCAGCTCTGTTACGTCCATTGCAACTTTTGTGATACTGTCCTCGCGGTATCACTTGTCCTCATCATCCTCTTCTTCTTTTTCATCTGTCTATCTATCATGAATCATCTCTGCCTTATCATAATCCCTTTTTCTCAGTTCATTTCTTTGATTATATATCTAATTTTTCTAAGATCTTGTGGGGTTCTAATTCTTCGAGATGACTCGTCTTACCTGAATAGTCCTATCTAATGAGATCCTTTAATTTCTTCCTTTTAAGTGGGATTTGAGCTTCTTTTTGCTGATGTGCAGGTGAGTGTTCCTTGTACAAGCTTGTTCAAAACTGTGACAGTTCGATGTGGCTACTGCACCAATCTTCTGTCAGTGAACATGCGCAGCCTGCTCGTTCCTACAGCTAATCAGCTTCATCTTGGACAGTCATTCTTCTCACCTCAGAATTTTATGGTATATATTATTAGGGTTCCCAAATATTCGTGCATAAATATATTTTTCGCAAAAAAAGGGGGTTTTGAATTATGGAAAACATACAAGTTAGGATAACTAATAATCTTGATTTTTTT